CCCGCCCACCCTATCGTTAGTGTAAATCTGCAGGCAATGGCTTTCCCCCTTAAAAAACATCTCCTGACAAAGGAAGACCCAAAGGAATAAGGAAAACCTGAATGGGAGTCCAAGCTCCATGCTTTCTCCCCCTCATAATCCTCCGATTTGGAAGAAAGACCTTAAAGAGCGTTCAGGCTTCAGGTTCCTTGCAGCCAACAAGCGTGCAACTGGGGCTCGCTAGCAGAGCGAACAGCCTCCCATGTGGGGCTCCGTTCCCGTAAGAACCGCCACTGCCTTCTTTATCTCCCTGTCCAAGGGCAGAGTGCCTGTCCCTAAAACACCATGCTTGGGTGCAGATTCAACTCCTGCAAGATGCTTTCCAGGGCAAACGCTCTTTAGTGCCTTTCTGTACTGCGGGAAAAAAAGAAGTAAAAAGCAGCCATGGCATGCTGCAGCTCTGGGGCTGCTTTTTACTTTTTTTTTCTTTTTGGCAGTGAAAAGCCCAGCCCCATCCCGGCTCAGCAGCCAGGCCAGGCATGCCTTGGCAGCAGCGGGAGCAAGAAGACAGCAAAGGCCAGCGCAGGGCAGCAGGGGTCTCGGAGTATAGGGTGACAAGAGCAGCTGGGACTGGGCTGGAGAGGCTGTGGCTTCCAGGGTGTGCCAAGCAGCCACGGAGCCATGCAGTTCTGGGGCTGCTTGCTGCCCCGCAAGGCAGAGTGCAGGGTGGTCAAAAGGGCAGAGATTGGGGGGGAGATAGGCAGGTGGGGGGAGTTGGAGGCAGTCCCTTACTTTACTGAGGCTTGAGACTAGGAGGGACCAAGTCCAGAATGGCTTGGATTGGGGTAGGTATTAGCTTAACGACCTGTGATTCTTGGTTAAAGAAGGCAACTGGGACTGCCAGGATTGCTGTCACTAAGCGATGCGGTCACATGATGTCTTGCTTTATAACTGCATCGCTTAGTGATGGAAATTCTGGTCCCAGTTGTCATAAATCAAAGACTACCTGAACAGGGGCCAGTGTGAGAAGTAAGGTGATAACTTCTCTGTAGCATCTGTTCACCTGATAAGATCTAGTGAGGTGCAACTATAGTATATATGGCAAAATGGTTTGGTTGTGGGCTGGGAAATTAATAAAGAGAAAACTCATACAGTCAGGTCCAGAAATATTGGGACATCGACACAATTCTAGCATCTTTGGCTCTATACACCACCACAATGGATTTAGAATGAAACAAACACAATGTGCATTAACTGCAGACTGTCAGCTTTAATTTGAGGGTATGTACATCCAACTCAGGTGAACGGTGTAGGAATTACAACAGTTTGTGGCTCTATACACCACCACAATGGATTTAGAATGAAACAAACACAATGTGCATTAACTGCAGACTGTCAGCTTTAATTTGAGGGTATGTACATCCAACTCAGGTGAACGGTGTAGGAATTACAACAGTTTGTGGCTCTATACACCACCACAATGGATTTAGAATGAAACAAACACAATGTGCATTAACTGCAGACTGTCAGCTTTAATTTGAGGGTATGTACATCCAACTCAGGTGAACGGTGTAGGAATTACAACAGTTTGTGGCTCTATACACCACCACAATGGATTTAGAATGAAACAAACACAATGTGCATTAACTGCAGACTGTCAGCTTTAATTTGAGGGTATGTACATCCAACTCAGGTGAACGGTGTAGGAATTACAACAGTTTGTGGCTCTATACACCACCACAATGGATTTAGAATGAAACAAACACAATGTGCATTAACTGCAGACTGTCAGCTTTAATTTGAGGGTATGTACATCCAACTCAGGTGAACGGTGTAGGAATTACAACAGTTTGTGGCTCTATACACCACCACAATGGATTTAGAATGAAACAAACACAATGTGCATTAACTGCAGACTGTCAGCTTTAATTTGAGGGTATGTACATCCAACTCAGGTGAACGGTGTAGGAATTACAACAGTTTGTGGCTCTATACACCACCACAATGGATTTAGAATGAAACAAACACAATGTGCATTAACTGCAGACTGTCAGCTTTAATTTGAGGGTATGTACATCCAACTCAGGTGAACGGTGTAGGAATTACAACAGTTTGGTGGGAGGCACATATGCAAACTGTTGTAATTCCTACACCGTTCACCTGAGTTGGATGTACATACCCTCAAATTAAAGCTGACAGTCTGCAGTTAACGCACATTGTGTTTGTTTCATTCTAAATCCATTGTGGTGGTGTATAGAGCCAAAGATGTTAGAATTGTGTCGATGTCCCAATATTTCTGGACCTGACTGTATGTTGGTAATGGAATTTGACAGGATGAAAAGCAATGCACTTACCAAACAACAGGCTTTGACATTTCTGCTAGAAGATCAAATATTTAGGATTTTTTTTAAAAAAAATAAAGATTTGTTTAAGATTAATTATTTACCTAATTATAAAAATATATCAACAGATATTTCTAGATGGAAAAAGTTAGATCTGTCTTGGTTAAGGAGAATCACAGCTGTCAAAATGAATATCTCACCAAGATTAAACTTTCTTTTTCAGATGATTCCAGTATTTATTGAGGATAAGTTTTTAAAGGCTTGGCATAGACAAGTAATGAATTGTATGTAGTGCAACAAAAAGCCAAGGATTAAATTGAAAAATTTGCAGGACTCAAGAGAATGAGGTAG